GGTAAAGGGAAAGAAATTTTAATGAAATTCTTTTATCACTACACATTAGTGACAGAAAAAATTTGTGACTTGTGGTCTCTTGATTCTATCGGAATAACTGAACCAGCTCTTTCGCAAAACAAAACAAGAAATAGAAAAGGCTACAGAAAATTATTTCATCCGTACTTTAGAAAGAGATGACTCTGGAAGATATCAGGTATCACTTCCATGGCTTCAAATTCATCTGAGTTGCCAGATAATAGAATCCTTGCAGAAAAGAGTCTGAAGTCTTGCGTGAAAACCCTTCAGACAAAGAATTCCTTAGAAGCCTACGAAAACGGTTTTAAAAGGATTGGGTAGAAGAGGGAATAATTGAACCTATCAATATTTCGGAGGCAGAAAAGATCAAAGGGCATTATCTGCCACATAGAGCAGTGTTTCGGGAAAATTCGACTACCAAAATTCGACCAGTGTTCGACGCATCTGCAAAGGAGAAAAATTCGGTATCTCTGAACGACTGTCTGGAAAAGGGTCCTAATTATCTTGAATTGATCCCCAAAATTTTGACGAAATTTCGAGAGGGGAAGTATGGAGTAATTTCGGATATAAAAAGAGCATTTCTTCAGATAGGTGTGAACCCAGCGGATCGAGATTTTCTCCGGTTCCTATGGTGGGAGAAAGGACAGCCTGAAAAAAACTGACTATAATCGGCACCGAAGGGTTGTATTCGGCGTAAACGCCAGCCCCTTTTACTCGCTGCCACAATTAACTACCATTTGGAAAAAATGTACCAAAACATCATCAGGAAATAGCTTCAAAGCTAAAGAAAGCCATGTATGTGGATAACTGCGTAGCGAGCGTGGAATCAATTGAAGAATTAAACTCATTTATCAAAGGATCTAGAGAAATAATGGCTACTGCAAAATTTGACCTAAGAGGTTGGAAACATAATAGACTTAAAAAATGAAACTTCAATTCTAAACCTTTCTGATAAAGATTATGAAGATGTTGTGTCAGTATTGGGATTGAAATGGGACTTGTTTGACGATACTTTGTCTTGTCACGTAAAACATGAAGAAAACCCTGTATCGAGCAAAAGATCTGTTCTTTCCGAATTGAGTAAAATCTTTGACCCAATTGGGTTTACTAGTCCAGTTACTCTCATGCCTAAACTGATTCTGCAAGAGTGCTGGAAACAGAAAATTAACTGGGATACTAATCTGCCGAATGATCTAGCAAGGAAATTTTTCACATGGTCATCTCAGTTAAAAATTTGAAAGAAAGACATCAAAATTCCTAGATGCTTCCCAAAATAGACGAAAGTACCACTCTGCATGTATTTTCGGACACAAGCAAGGACGCGTATGCGACCTGCATTTTCCTTAGACACAGCGGTGAGAGTGGAGTCACTTGTCAATTGATACAATCTAAAGCGAGATTTGCTCCCCTAAAAGCACTCACCATACCTCGACTAGAGATACTCGCTTGCACTATTGGAGCCAGGCTCTCTCATACAATAAGAGAAGACTTGAAACTAAAAGAGGTTCCAGTATTTTACTGGACGGATTCCACAAATGCTCTCTTTTGGATAAAACAGAAAGAAAATTGGTCCACTTTTGTAGCCAATCGAGTAAATGAGATTCGAAAATTGAGTAACCCAGATCACTGGTTAATCCTTCGGATTTGCCATCTCGCGGTTGCTCTGCAAAAGAATTGAGGAAATCCGAATGGTGGAAAGGACCAGATTGGATTTATCGACCTCCAAGAAGAGTTGGCCTATTGCAGATGGAGAACCATCCTGACTTCGATATAGTAAATGAGAGAGAGAAAACGAACTGTGGTTTCAGCCAGCAATAACACGAATACAGATAAATTTAACCTTTTTGACAATATTTCAAAATTCGAAAAGATCATAAAGGTCGTGTCTTGGATCTTTAGATTCATTAAAAATGCTACTGCACCACCATCTGAAAGAACTCATGGCAGAATTTCAGTCGAAGAAACAAAAAGGAGCTGAAACAATGGTTTTCCGACTGATCCAACGAGAATTTTTTGAAGGATTGAAAGATAAAAGAATACATGCTCTAGCAACCTATCATGGACTCCAATGGCCTTATAAAAGTGAAAGACACTGTATCTTTCAGAGAGACGATGATGCTGACTTTCGTTACCCAGTTTTACTTCCCTCAGGACATCCATTAGTCTTAAAACTGATCAAATCTGAACATGAAAGGCTAAGTCACGCTGGAGTACAATTCGTTATGTGCGCTTTGCGTGAAAAATATTGGATCATAAAGAGTAGGAAGACAGTACGCAAGGTTATCCAAAACTGTGTACGATGTCGAAGGTTCGACTCTGATTCATATAAGATTCCTCAAGCGCCACTACCTGAAGACAGAATAAGAGATGCTTTAATTTTTGAGATTATTGGTGTTGATCTGACGGGTCCCTTAATTTTAAAAGGAGGCCAAAAAACATGGATCGTCATTTTTACTTGCGCAATATATAGAGCAGTTCACTTAGAGCTAGTCTCATCTCTATCAACCTGAAAGTTTCCTGCACGCGTTCAGGCGATTCATCGCTCGAAGGGGTAGACCTGTCACTGTATACTCCGACAATGGAACCAATTTTGTTGGATCAAATAATTTGTTTAAGACCATAGATTGGAATTCTATCTTAGAAAATGCAACAGTTAAGAAAATTGAATGGAAATTTATTCCCCCTTCCTCGCCATGGTGGGGAGGGTGGTGGGAAAGATTAATTGGAGTACTAAAGAGAATTCTTCGAAAGGTACTAGGAAAATCTTCTCTGAACTACGAAGAATTGTTGACAATCATTTGTGACTGCGAGAGAGCATTATGAACAACCGTCCTCTCACGTATTTGTCAGAAGACGTAAAGGATTTAAGAGCTCTCACCCCAGCAATGTTTCTAACAGAAATTCCAGAGACTGGAGTTCCTGAATTAGATCTTTTGGATTCTAAATCCATCAATAAAAAGATACCTTTACAGAGCCAAATTGAGAAAAGATTTACGAAAAAGATTTCGATCAGAATATTTAGGGCAACTAAAACAAAGCTCAAAATTCATCCGCAAACCATCTTCTGTGAAAGTTGGTGATCTTGTAATTGTGTCCAACAACGAAAAAAGGATATAAACTGGCCCTTAGCTAGAATCGTGGAAATTTTTCCATCCCACGACGGACACATTAGATTAGTGAAACTGAAAACTGCACAAGGGGAGATTATAAGACCTACTAAGAACCTCATACCTCTTGAACTCAACTTTACACCTGAGTCGGATATGCTAGTGAGGTACAGAACTCGACGTATGACGAAATCTCAAAAGACTTGAAACTACAGGTCAGTTGAGGTCCATCCTCTGTTGATACTGGACCTCAAGGTGGGAGTGTCGCGTTTGCTTACTAGAACTTTACTTCCACGACGAACGCCCTCTGGCGAAAGAGACTAAAAGTAGTCAGTTGAACGGCTGACGCGTCTAACAGATGTATAACGATAGACCGTCTCCGTAAAATAAATGATGCTTGTAATCATTATAACTTGTAAATATTTTGTAGATATCTTTCATACGAATTAAAATTTCTTAAAAAGTTTATAGCTGTGTTTCGAAGTGAATCGAAGTTCATCATAGAGACGGATACCTACAAGAAGGAAAAGCAGGCAGTTCAGGGCAGCCCTATTTAGAAGGTAAGTGAACTTTCACTTATCTATTTAATGATCAAAAAATTTTAATAGTACAAAGTTGATAAAATTTTTTAACAACTGTCATGCATCAGTATAAATGTATAAATGTTATGCTTGGCACATTTGCTGTGTAATAACATAAGCAATGATGTAAATTATTTATAACTTTATTATTATTTATAGTGTTATTGTGGCGATATAAATGTGCACTATATTCGCATAAATGTGAATACAGTATAGCTTATGCGCTTGCATGGAAATATGATACGAGAGATGAAAGTGAAACTCGGGTCAAACTGAGCGGAGTAACTCAAGCAGACGGATTTGTCCAAAATGTGACTGTAAGCTATGTTATATGTAACAGAAAGTATGTATTATATGATATGTTCGTGTAATAAAATGTCCTGTCTATTAATCCGCCATATTTTCTTCAACCGAGTAGAGTCAGAAAACCGTTATTGATGTAATACGAGCAACATCCTACTAGTTAGACGTAAAACCCGGATTCTTGAGACAGTGGTGTCTTTATGTACTACGTGTTATTATATATGAGAACTTACAGACAAGGAGGACGAACTTACAGACGATCACCACATTACATGTCGGTGAAGTTGCAGCTTACCACCAAATCCGTCTCAGATTTTTAATTACTAGCAGAATGGGACGTGTACATAATTTTTTTGTCGTTATCCCTGATAGTAAAATAACATGCAACTTCCACGAAAATTTCTTTTCCGTACTAAATAGACATAGCTTAACTGTAAGAAAATAACTATAAATTTATGAGACCTAGATAAGCAGAAGATAAAGAGTATAGACAATGATCGTGAGTAAAACTTTTATAATTTATTGCTAAACTGTAAGATATGAATCGAAATATTTCACGGATCAAACAAAATAAGCACTTTTTCCCTCAAAGAAAAAAAGTAAAAAAATATCAAGAATTATTTCTAATGACGGTTGAGAATTAATATCACTCACGATATTATATTTTGGTGTATGTATTAGTCATCTGGACAAAATGAAATACCTTTTTTTAATTAAAATTAATCTTAAAAACATGTGAAAGCGAAATATTTGTGCGAAATTTAATACATTGAATGCTTTTTCTCCCCTTCGATCTTTTCAGCATAACGATAGTTAACGGTGTATATTCAAGTACAATGTTTTTCGTAAAATGAAGCCAAATTAGCGATTTCACGCCAAGCCTAGTCCGGTCAATAACCGTGAATTTGAAGATCGTGGAAGCTGTCATTGGTCTCAAGTTCAAGTGACGTCACGAACATTCGTCTCTTAAAACTCATTGCTGCTATAAGCGAAGGTTTCAAACATAGCGGAGTTAATGTACTTCAAAGTGAGTGACGTAACGCTTTTTGATGTTGTGAGCGTAGACCTTACCTTGAAGTTTTGGTTTTAAACGCGGAAGCATGTTTTCTATTAGAATGGACTTGCTCTTCTATTACATAATATCAGCTGCACTAGTAATTTCATCAGGTGAGATATTATGCGTTAATTTTTTTTTTTTTAAATTTTAGAATATGATTTGCTTTCTGCAAAATGGAAAAAAATTGAGTAATTGTTATATATTTTTAATACATTGAGACAGTAAACATTGGTTCAGGACAATATGTATATTATGTTCAGGACAAAATGTATATTAAAAATTTTTATGGAATTCTGTGTATAAATAATTATTGTTTTCTTCGTTGAAATTTTATACTGAAAAATGTAAACTTCTTTATTCACGTTATTTCAGATTTGTTGTCATTGCGGTACATAGCTTTATTAGATATAATTTTTCATTTTTCTGTTAGAAGCAAAACATTTGCTAGTGACTGACCAAAATAAAAATAAAAAAGTTGTTAAATAATCTGTTCTTTAGTAACATAGAGTTCAGGTTGGATATTTTCATCTTGTGAAGTATAAACTAGGTATTTTTTAATTACATTATTGTTAATATTCATGTTATCAATAAGTTCTGTCTAAGCATATATAAGGCAGCAAAGCGTGTGCTTTCATCTACTGTCCTCATGCATTAATACTATATCAGCAAAATTACTATTTAGAACTAATAATATATGTGTTTATAATTTTCCGTTGTTCATGCAATTTATATCCATCTACTGAATTATAACTAACCGATATAATGAAAGGCAGGACAAATTATTTTACCATGTATTTATTACTAGTAAGCATCTAGTTTTTTGAGGTGAACGTGGAATGCAATATCATAGCTGCCGATTGTTCTGGTTTCATCGTGAGGCATCCGGTTTTTCCTCGCATCTTCCAGTAGATCACCCAGTCGCGCGGTTTTTAATTTTTGCGCTTTACCAAGGAAAGTTTTTTTCAGCAATAAATGAAATTTATTTATCAAATTAGTGAAACTTAAATTGTATAAATTTCATTCCTCCATCCCTAGTGACTTTCCGCAAAATATTTCTTATTAAATATTACTTGATCAAAGGTTTCTTAATCTGGAGACCTTTATAGTTTTATATGAAGCTTCAACTAAAGTTTACTCAGTAAATATTTGTATTTAATTTTGTTTTACTCCAAGATATGGTAAATTACAGGGTTTATCCGCACAATAGTATGTACCTTAAAGCTTTCCTTCCCTACTTGGGATTTTCTAAATATAAAAGTTCAAGAAAGTTACAAAATGAAACAAATCAAAGGATATAAAATTTAGAATATGTACTTAAATATTTAAGTATCAATTTTTTTAAACTTAAAATTATCCCAGCATTTTGCTGAAAAATACATCAATTATAGGTAAGAAATTAAACATTAGAACCCTATCCGCGCAAAGAAAAAAAAAAAAAAACAAAAAAAAAAAAAAAAAAAAAAAAAAAAAAAAAAAAAAAAAAAAAAAAAAAAAAAAAAAAAAAAAAAAAAAAAAAAAAAAAAAAAAAAACAAAAAAAAAAAAAAAAAAAAAAAAAAAAAAAAAAAAAAAAAATGAAATACAATTCCAATAAAATTCAAAATTCTTTATAAAAAATACAACCAATAGTCACTAAATCAGAAGAATTATTCATATGGGAAATACAAATTTACTAAAAATGTAAACCTCCTCTTGATAACGTTGAATCCGATTTTGATTGCATTCCTCTCCCTGTTTATATTTTTAGTAAATTTCTATTTCCTATATCAATAATTATTCAGGTTTCGTGACTATTGGTTGTTTATTACATATTTATAGGGAATTTTGAATTTTACTGGCATTGTATTTAATTTCTTTTGTGTCTTTCTGGATTTGGTTCTGAATTTCTTATTTCTTTTCTATAATTAATAAAATATTAATATACTTTACATCAGACTCATATTATAAATAATTGAATAACCCGATTCATGCGTTGTAAAGCGATTTTAAGTCAATTTGGAATTCTTTTGAAATGATATTGTCGTGCAGCTCAACCCCCTATCCCTGAAAATTTCCGGTCTTTGGCGCTAGTGCCTCTCGGTTTCTCTTGTTTCATGTCAGTATGTTACATAGCTATGGAAGAAAAACAATGCTAATAAACTTCGACTATTAATATTTCTAACCAGGGATGAAAAGTTGGAGTTCATTTTGTCCGAATATTAAGGTTTTTGAGTTTAACAGAACCCGACTACGATGCTGGTGTATTAGGCATGGTGTATTGGCTACAAACTTGCTAGGTAATAAGGCAATGATAACCCATCCTGATGCATATATTTCTATCTGGAGAATCGCTAGAATATTATTAGATTGAAAATCTGAAAAGTTTGAATCTGCTAGATTCTTCAAGGAGGAAAGAATCTTTTTGCTGAGTATTTGAAAAGAATTGGCCAAGAAAGCCTGAGGTTGATTGTCTGTTTTAACAAGGATATACAGTTTTATTAAAATCCTAATTTATACATTGATCTTTTTGTCACGTTCTTTAATGGAATTCTTTGAAAGAGTAAAGGCGTACTGAGTGTTCTGCCTAATAAAAACAATAAAATAACCTGAAAGTAATTTCCTAAGACTTTCATGCAGTTAAACGCAGCTTACATTAACTAAATAAAGCTAGTTTCTCGAAAGAAGTCTTAAGACTGATATAATTCTTATTAATACAAATTGGGTCGACGGATATGAATTTTTAAAAAATTACAAAATTTACTGTGGGAAAACAAATGAACAGTATACGTGAGATCATTACAAATATAAATATCTGCGACTTATAAGGTTTCTAAACTTTCTTAAAAAATAAATACCTAGTTTTGAATGCTAAAATATAACTGTCTAATTTTGAGTAGGTAGTTGCTGATTTGTTTTAGGCATTGGCATGTTTTCGATTACTGGCTGATAGATCAAAATTTGAAGAATAAAAGTTAAAATAAATTATTTTGATATCAGCAACACCGTCTTTCGAAGAGATATTTTGAGGATTCAGAATCAGATTATCATCCACCTAACTATGTTAAGAAAAATCCGCTGTTTTAAGACTTCTTTTAGCTGTTTTAAAGCTTTATTTACTTATTTTAGCATTGAAACTTTCGTTGTTAGAAAGGCGGCAGATTAGAGGTAACATCAAACCGTGCTGTAAACTCATCAAACCGTGCTGTGCCGTTATGCTTGACGAATGAATAGACGTTGTACTGAGAGGCCACGATGAGGTTACATCGTGCTTTTACCCGTTTTATAAAATAAAAAATAAAAAAAGAATGGTATATGAAAAGGAAGAAAAGGTAAAAACGTTGCGGGAGAAATATAAAATATGCGAGTTGTAGCATTATTATGATTTCATTTTTTATTTTCTGACACTTCGAATGAATTTGTCACATTTTCTTCAAATATTCTAGAGATTGAAACTTTTGGTTAACTTTTTTTTATTAATATTTAAATATATTAAATGGAAAAGAAAACAGTTCATAAGGATAAAATACACTATTATCTTTTTTCATATTTAATGCATTCATCTTGAATCTCAATTCGGATTTTTGCCGTAAAATCGTGCGTTGAAGGATTTTGATAAGTGTGAAATGTGGTATGAAGCAAAATAAAAAGAAAAGGGCATTTAATGAGATTGTTATTAAAAAATTATAATGGATTATTAGTGTGAAAGTAGAATTAAAAGTATGGTCATATTTTTCTATGAACTTTATCAAATCTGCTGTGGTTCAAAGAAGTGTTGCGAAGTAATAAAAAAAGAGGAAAGAAAAGAAACATACAACGCACGTATTAAATATCAGTGTGTAACAAGTAAAACTGCGTATCTAGGAAAACCCGAATGGTGTAATGAATATTATATAACATACAGTAAGGATGTCACTTGTCCATCCAAAGACTAATGATTTAGACTAAGGAAAAGTTTTACTAAAGTAGTCATTTTTCATTGCAACTGGTGGATTTAAAGCAGTATGAAGGTAACTGAGCACTCATCTTATAACTCAGCCCACCAGCGGCCGAGCGGTAAAGTCGCTGAACACTGGTAGTTCGGTCCGAGGTTCGAATCCCGCGAACGGGCTGGCTGCATGGGCGTTTTCGTGGTTTTCCCCATGTGTAACGTGTATACGAGCCAGTTTCCCTTAGAAAGTCCTCCACAAAGGCATCCCTCCTCTTAGGCAGATAGCCCTAGTGTGCTTTGCCGTAATTAAATACACACACACATCTTATAACTCAGGATCATTACTTTTTTATTACTATTGCTATTATGACTATCATGTTAAGACTCATTTATGGATGTAAAGTCTATGCACACTGCCACAGGGTTTGTCAGTGTGAGGCTTTTATGATCGACAAACCAATAAGCAAATCATCTTCAGTGTGCCTTTCCCTTTTATATGTCTCTGTTTTTATTTCATAAAACGCTGATTTTTCACAAGTGTAATGTTGCAAACGGAAACAAATTTTTATCACCCTGTTTGCATTTGTTTGACATTGACACCATGCATAAACAGGATTGTACTGCCGGTATCTAGAAGTTTTTTTCATTCTCCCCCCCCCCCATGAGAGAATAGGTTAACAAGTTGAATACTAATTTTCTCAATGAATGTTAGCTGAGTGATACTTTGTATGTTATTTCTAGTAGATATACCCAAACTAAAAATTATCCTTGCATTAATAGCTTTATGTTACATTGGAACAGTCTTTTGTTAGACTCTTCCTGAATGGCATATATATTTAATTTTTTGAAAATTCCCTGACAGACTTCGTGAGCCGTCGCGTATATTTATGTTGCGACACACCAACTGGGAAACATTGGCTTAGACATGAATAATGTTCTTCAGTATGGTTACAAATGCTTAGGCTTAAGCATCATTTCAAGAGTTCACTTGTGAGCAATGCGTCAAATCAAGCTGTAGAGTCATTAGTTTTGTCGAAACAGAAAACATGAAAAATGCGCATTGCGTTCAGCTGTTACTGAAAAAAACTCATTTCAAGAGTTCACTTGTGAGTAATGCGTCAAATCAAGTTGTAGAGTCATTAGTTTTGTCGAAGCGGGAAACATGAAAAATGCGCATTGCCCTAGCTGAGATTCGAACTCCAAAC